ACCAAAAAGCAAAGTGATCAGGTCTTGACAATGGCCAAACTCTGTGCAAAAAAACCCCAAAACAAACAAACAAACAAACAAACAAAACAACAAGAGAGTCTGGCAGGTGTCTGTGCCCCTTCCAGGGGGAGGGAACCAATGTCAGGACTGCTACGTGGTCTCCTACCTACTGTGCTTCCTTTACCTGCACCCTCATCACAGCATAAAGGACAGTCAACCTGTCACCCCCACCAGACAGTAAGTCGCTTGAGGGGCTGTGGCTTTTCTTCTCTGTGTCCCAGTGCTGGGTTCACAGAGGACATCCAATAAATGTGAACCGAACCTATTGGAGCGGAGATCCTCTCCGCTCTGAATGCGGACGCTGCACAGGCCTCACCGTGGCCAGGAGGAAAGGATCTTCTGGCTGTACCTGCCTTTGGCTGATTCTGTGATCACCGAGCAGCCTTCTGATTACTAATTTCACCTCATAAGTTCTCTATAACCAGGGAGGAAATGCCCTGGATAGACTGTGACTGTTCTGATCCTGATGTACTGGCTTATACACGGGTCTCTTGTGAGAATAACCGAGTCCACGCCTGAGACACGGACTAGTAGGCATCTCTGAACGTCAACAGAACTGAGTTCCTGAAAACTTGTAAAACTGAGTACTGGGTTCTAGACTGGGTTGACTGCACCAAGATAAAACCTCCTTGGGACCCACTGCATAAGCAGTCAACCAGCGTCCTAACAGGTGCTCTTCATTTCTGGAAACCACGATAGAAAACTCTGCTCCCCATGTAACTGCAATTTCATTAACAGCTTCCTAAAGATATATCACTTCACATCACCTCCCTGAAATCTTCCCACTGTCCAACAATGCTGCTGGAAAGGGGTCAGGACCAGGATGAGAGAGCGAGTTTGATCAGTCAACCTCTGGGCCTGACTTGTGACCAGAATGCAGTTCTGGGCCAGAGTAAAGGAGACAGGCACTGCTATTCACTACTCTGTGATTTGAACCTCTTGGAACCTCATCTGTAAAATAGGTATAATTATGCCTACCCTATATGGTTGTTGTGAGACTAAATTTAAAAATGCATGTTCAGAAATCAGCACTGCTCCTGGTACACAGAAAACATTCAACAAAAGATGGCTCTTGCGATTGTTTATAATTTGCACCATACTTGTTAGGCTGGGAGGTACCTGATAGACACCATTGTTCTGAGAGTCGATTCTAACAATGGCCATTACTTTCTGTTTTTCCCACAGCCAATAGACAAGGTTGGATTCTGGAGGTGATGTCTGAGTCAACAGGTATTTGGAGTCTGGAGAAAAAGCCATGCAAGTAAATCTCTGAACTGGGAAGTCAAAGTTATTAAGGATTTTGCGCTTCCGGACAGGGATGGATGACAGTTCATAAATGGTGATGACAGGTTTTTCTTGCACCATCTCTGAGACAGCGAGGTATCGCCTATTGGGACTGATGGACAAGGCCAACATGCCTTGACTCTTCTCTGAGCCTGAAAACAGAGGTAAAAGGGGATAATGAGGGTAGATGAAGCTTTCACCAAGATTCAACGTGAACCAGGCACAGTGGTAGGCACTGCTGACGCAATAGGAGAAAAATGCAGACACAGGTCATTGTCAATCCATGAGTCCCTTGGTACAACTATATCTGGGGTATTATAAAAATGACTAGGGTGGGTACCTCCCTGAGGCCAAGCTCGGAGGAGAAGTCAGGGGATGATTCCTGAAGGAAGACAATGTGGGACGGGGAGGGGAGGGGAGTGGGGCAGGTGGCAGGAAGAGCAAAGGTGTGAATGTGAGAAAGTCGGATATTGCCAGAGCATCACATGTGAGCCAGAGGTGACCAAAAATGGGTCTAGAGGGGTGAAATGGGATCAGATCATAGAGGCCTTTATGCCCTGAGCAGGCAGCACTTTCAAGGCTCTAGTTTCTCTACTTTCAAGACTGGGATGCTAACCACTGGATTCCTCAGCCTCCCTTGCAATTAGGTGATCTGTGTGACATTCTGGTCATGAGATAAGATGCAGAAGTCTGCTGGACTGGCTTTATGGTAAAGCTTGTGCTTTCTTGAAAACCAGGGATGGATGCATTCTATCCCCCTTTTCCTAGAATACAGAAGTGATATCTGGAATACAGCAGTCATATTGCAACCTTGAGGTAACAAGCATGAGAATGAAACTATGGTCCTCTAGACAGCAGCGCCTAAGGCAAAGATCAAACTGCAAAAACTTTATTTGTGAAATGCAATCAGGGCCACATTATGATTTTCGTGGGCCCTAGGTACTTTAGCTTTCAGGGATACCTTCCTCCATTAAAAATGTTAAAAATTATATTTTGTGACTGCATTGGTACAAAGAGGAATATATCCTGGCTGGATTCACATTGTTATTATATTCATTTTTCCTGATTTTAAAATAAATTAAAATTAAAACATTTTTTTCTATCCCTACATGTATCATGGGCCCTAGCTTCTGTGCCTACTGTGCTTTGTGGACAAGTCTTCTATCTCAGTTAACAGCAACTCCATCCTTCTGGTCAATCAGGCCAAAAACCTTACTTCTTCTTTTTCCCTTCCACACTACATCAGATCTCTGAGGAAACCTCCACTTTCAAAATAATCCAGGATTATTTCTTCTCACCATCCCTATTGCCTACAACTTGCTCCATGACACCATTTTCTCTCACCTGGATTATAGCAGTAGTCTCTCAACTGGTCTCCTGCTTCCTCCCTTACCTCTCCTTCAGTCTATTCTCTAAACAGTAGCCAGAATGATCCTGGTGAAATATTAAGTCAGATCACGTTACCCTGCTCAGAGTCCCCAAGAGTAAGAGCCTATGACCCACAAAGCCCTATGTGATGCTGCTCCCCGTTACGTCTCTGCCTCGCCTCTCGTTGCCAATTCTTCCATTCACTTCAGTTGAGCCACACTGGCCTCCTTGCTATTCCCCTAACACACTAAGCACCCTAACTCTGAACCTCAAAGGTGAAAAGCAAAAGTGTAAAGCATAAAAGAGATAATATAGGAGAATAATTAATAATGTTGGGTTAGGGAGCAATTCCTGAACAAGACACAAAAAGGAAAATGTTGATAAACTTGACTTCATTACAACTAAGAATTTCTGTCCATCAAGATACCATAGGGAGAAAATACAAGCCCCAAACTGGGAGAAATTATTTGCAACACACATATCAGACAAAGGATTGGTATACAGAATATATAAAATGTGATCATAAGTCAGTCAGAAAATTACCCCCAAAAAACATAGAAATTGGGGAAAAGACACAAATAAGGCATTTCGCAAAAGACTGAATAGGAGTATCCCATAAACATGTGAAAAAATATTCATCCTCATTAAGAGAAATGCACACTAAAACGAATAAGATACCCTGCCTCAATCACTAGATTAGCAAAAAATTAGGAAGTTAGATAATACCAAGTGTTGGTGTGGTTGTGAAGGAATGGCTACTCTGATGCACTCCTGGTGGGAGTGCAAATTGGTACTACCACCTTACCTAGTAATTTTAGTCCT